ATTTAGCAGACGCTTTTATCCAAAGTGACTTACAGTGCATTCAGGCTATACATTTTTTTTACCAGTATGTATACTGTATATATATATATATATATATATACACACACACATACACATACAAATACAATCAATCTTTACATACATTTAGTAATAGCAAGTAAAGGTGATCAAATCTTGAACGTAAAACAATAACAGGAATAGAACAGGTCCCATTTCAATAGTTTTTTTGATGTTGTCAGCTGCCTATGTAGACAGTAGCGCTCAAACTAGGCATTTTTCGCGAGTGAACAGTATGTGCTAGTGTTTATCTGATAGTGTCCTGACATTTGAATCCCGGTAATGATGGAGGAACTGAGATTTGGCTCTTTATTCAGCTCAGTGAGCCCCGCCAGATGAAACTGCCCCCATTAGTTTGGAGCATATAATCGCTCAGACTAATTCAATTAAAACTCTTTTTGAAGGAAAGCTCAAATTGCCCTATGATTGCGAGCCCACCGAGTCTTTAAATGATTCTGTCAGACTCAAATGTGCGTGTACCAGTAAAGCTGTGATTTATGGCTGCCTGGCAGTGGATGTGATTTTCTTTCCTCTAAGCAGTTACAGTCAATGACGGCCGCCGCGAACGGCGAGAGCAATTAAAGCTCCATTCCACTTTTGTTGCTAGATGAGCGTCTTGAGCGACACAATGATGCTCTGATTCTCTCAGTGAATAGTTTCACGTGCGTCACTTCTTGTCAGGCACCTTTTCCTTCCCTTTTCAAGAAGTGTTCGTTTGTCTGTACTAGTAGCTAGACTGCTTTCTCTTCAAATGTTTGCAGGCCTTGTGTTTTGACTTTTCTTCAGTGGGTGGGGAGTAATGAAAAACTGTCCTTGAAGGAAAACCAATCAAAATGCTTCTAAGACTGTATTTATAGCATCAAACAATTTTTATTTATTTTTTTAAACTAGCAGTCAAAGTTTGGAATAATAAAGATTTTTATTATTTTAAATATTACAATTAAATATTAAAATGTTAAATATTAAATATTACATTACTATTTGAATATATTTTAAAATGGAACATATTCCTGTGACGCAAAGCTGAATTTTCAGCATTGTTACTCTAGTTTTCACTGTCAAATGATCATTCAGAAATCATTCTAATATGCTAATGTTATTGTGAATGTTGAAAACAGTTGTGCTGCTTAATATTTTTGCGGAAACAGTACTATTCAAAGGTTTGGGGTAAAAACATATTGACAAAAAAAACAAGAAATTATTTTATTTAACAAAAATGCATTTAATTAATTGAAAGTGACAGTAAAGACAATTATAATGTTAAAAAAAATTTATTTTTCAAATAAAAGCTGTTCTTAGTCGGGGGGGCTGGGAAGTATTACAGTTTCCTCAAAAATTATAGCAGCATCAAATTAGAATATTAAAATGATTGCTGAAGGATCATGTGACATTGAGGACTGGGGTAATTCAGTAAAAGACTGCCTATAGTGCATATAGGCAGGGTATTAATGTAATCATTAATGTTAATTTTATTAATATTACTGTTTTTCAACCAGAGGTTGATGGAGAATAAAACAAAAAATGGTATTACATTTTTATGACATTCCTGAATTCTGACTGATGTAATGAGTCTAATCTATTCCTGGTGTATGAGGGGTCCTTGGGTCTTAATGTAAACAAACAAGTCCAATCAAATGTGTCAGAATAACAGATGTGTTCATTAGGACTTGCAGTGTAAATGCAGCCTAAATAAAGGGGTACTTTTAATTTGACATGTCTTGACAGGAACAGATGTCATCATTAAAGACTTCTGGTCATTGTTTCCCTGGAACACAAACTGGGAGGGCTGGGAAAATGATGAACGACAGCTGTGAATGGAGGTAGAGTCTGTAGCTCCTCATGCAGATTTGGCACTGGCTTTCCAAACACATTTCTTCAGGTGTCTTCAAGCTGGTTTAAATGAACGGTGAAGAGTTTTGATATTTATTTTCACATTCTGGTTTAGCTCACAATGAAGTGCCAAATATACACTTGGAATTTGGAGTTTATAACTCTTTGGGAAAAATAACTATCCACCTTTTTCTTCCCGTAAGAGCGGACACAGCCATTTGTAAATTTTGTGGGTCTGGCTTCCGGTCTCATCCACTTCCAGCTATTTTTAACTGTATAAAACAGCTTGTTTTGCTGATTGGTATTGAAAACTGGTGTGTCTTACCATGTCATTTTAATGTATTATCTTAATTATGAACACACTGGTTTGTAGTGCAAACTGTTTTACCGTTTACTGCACGTTGTAATTCTTCTCATTATTTCCCAATAGTGGCTAATAAACTGGAAGTCTCGCCCATATGCTTACTTCCGCGTTGAAGAATAAGGTGGCTACAGCACAGTTGTTTTAGGATCTGGCCATGCTTTATGTCTCTTTTAAAGGGTTAGTTCACCCAAAAATGAAAATTAGCCCACAAATTACATCCTAGGTGTATATGAATCCAGTCGGAGTTATATTAAAAACTGTATTTGATCTTTCAAGATGTTTAATGCCACTCAGCGGGTGTTGCATGCATCAGTCCAAAGGAAGTTAAATAAAAAGCACCCATCCATAAATACAGTGTCTCACACGGCTCCAGGGGGTGAACAAAGGCCTCCTGTAGCGAATCGATGCGTTTTTGTAAGAAAAATATCCATATTCAAAATGTATTAATCACTTTAATGTAGCTTGCGACATCCATAAATACAGTGTCTCACACGGTTCCAGGGGGTGAACAAAGGCCTCCTGTAGCGAATCAATGCGTTTTTGTAAGAAAAATATCCATATTCAAAATGTAATAATCAGTATACACCTAGGATGACTTGAGGGTGAGTAATTTTTGGGCTAATTTTCATTTTTGGGTTAACTAACCCTTTAAGTACTCACTCTCTATTTGGATGAATCTCATGAATATGTGCCAAGGCCAAAAATAAATAAAATCAATATTTTAAGATTTTTATTTATTTAAGAGTGTAGCATAAACTCAACCCTCTCATTAGAACCATTATAATTTAAAAAAAAAAAATCTTTTCGGACAAATATATATTTAAGTACACTTTCCTCCCATTCTCATGATTCTCATTATTGTACTTCAGTGTATTAATCACTTTAATGTAGCTTGCGTGAATCGTCCTACACGGAAGCAGCTCCGGGCAGATGACGTAGGAGTTCAGCGTTGCGCATGCACCGGTGAGTCTCGTGAAAACCAACGTTTGTTAACCGGAGCAAAGGAAGCAAAGTTTCCTTACTTTAGCAAAGGAAAACCAGTCTCCTCTTGGCTTATATCGAAATCCTCCGACATTCTTCTTTACAAATCCTCGTTTTGTACTTCTAATAAGTGACCGGTGTTTTGTTTTGATCTCTCCCCTGCGCTTCTGCGTTCATCACTTCTGAGCGGCGCATGCGCAAAGCTGACCTCATACGTCATCCGCCCGGAGCTGCTTCCGCGTAGGACTGTTAGCGCAATCTAGATTAAAGTGATTATTACATTTTGAATATGGATATTGTTCTTACAAAAGCACATCGATTCGCTACAGGAGGCCTTTGTTCACCCCCCGGAGCTGCGTGAGACACTTTATTTATGGATGGGCGCTTTTTATTTAACTTCTTTTGGACTGATGCATGCAACACCTGCTGAGTGGCATTAAACATCTTGAAAGATCAAAGACAGTTTTTAATATAACTCCGACTGGATTCGTCTGAAAGAAGAAAGTCATATACACCTAGGATGACTTGAGGGTGAGTAATTTTTGGGCTAATTTTCATTTTTGGGTTAACTAACCCTTTAAGTACTCACTCTCTATTTGGATGAATCTCATGAATATGTGCCAAGGCCAAAAATAAATAAAATCAATATTTTAAGATTTTTATTTATTTAAGAGTGTAGCATAAACTCAACCCTCTCATTAGAACCATTATAATTTAAAAAAAAAAAATCTTTTCGGACAAATATATATTTAAGTACACTTTCCTCCCATTCTCATGATTCTCATTATTGTACTTCAGAATGACCATTTTTTTGTGGACAATAAAAATATTTTTTATGCTATTTTACACATCACATCACAATGAAGACTACCACAATATATTCAATTATAGATACTAACCTTAATATATGCTTGTTGCTTCTGATTCTTATTATTTTAGTTCAGTAACTAAAATGTCTACAATATATTCAATTATAGATACTTAATAATTAACAATTTATCATATTTTTATATTACAGTAAAGATGAAGACTTTTTGTATGCTGGTAACACGATTTTTGAGGGAAAACTTGTTCATTGTCAAAAATAATGAATATGACTATATGAATACGACTATAAAAATGAATAATGAAAATGCTGAATGAATGAATGAATGTTATTGGTACGATATATGTGTATAGTGGTATATATATATAATTTATTATGAATATAATTGATGTCTTCTGCTTTTTGTTCTTGGCTAGTTTTGTGAGATTCGCCCTGATATTTCACACCTCCACCAGCTCAACTTATCTCGTTATCTCCCTTCCACCATATTTCCCCCTATATTTTTCTCAGTCCTTCTTCTGGCTCTTTTTCCCCCCCTCTTTTAAGCATCTCTCCTCTGCTCAGGGCCTCCCGCTGACAGACAGATTCTTGAATGGCTGATGGTCTACTCACTCTCTATTTGGATGAATCTCATGAATATGTGCCAAGGCCAAAAATAAATAAAATCAATATTTTAAGATTTTTATTTATTTAAGAGTGTAGCATAAACTCAACCCTCTCATTAGAACCATTATAATAATTAAAAAAAAAAATTCTTTTCGGACAAATATATATTTAAGTACACTTTCCTCCCATTCTCATGATTCTCATTATTGTACTTCAGAATGACCATTTTTTTGTGGACAATAAAAATATTTTTTATGCTATTTTACACATCACATCACAATGAAGACTACCACAATATATTCAATTATAGATACTAACCTTAATATATGCTTGTTGCTTCTGATTCTTATTATTTTAGTTCAGTAACTAAAATGTCTACAATATATTCAATTATAGATACTTAATAATTAACAATTTATCATATTTTTATATTACAGTAAAGATGAAGACTTTTTGTATGCTGGTAACACAATTTTTGAGGGAAAACTTGTTCATTGTCAAAAATAATGAATATGACTATATGAATACGACTATAAAAATGAATAATGAAAATGCTGAATGAATGAATGAATGTTATTGGTACGATATATGTGTATAGTGGTATATATATATAATTTATTATGAATATAATTGATGTCTTCTGCTTTTTGTTCTTGGCTAGTTTTGTGAGATTCGCCCTGATATTTCACACCTCCACCAGCTCAACTTATCTCGTTATCTCCCTTCCACCATATTTCCCCCTATATTTTTCTCAGTCCTTCTTCTGGCTCTTTTTTCCCCCCTCTTTTAAGCATCTCTCCTCTGCTCAGGGCCTCCCGCTGACAGACAGATTCTTGAATGGCTGATGGTCAGAATAAAGAGACACAGATGTGGACAATTATCTTGGCGCTCACTCATGCGCGCCGCACGCATCCCTCACCGGGTCTCTGAGGACAGGGGCTGCTGATGAAGCCGTGGGATTGCCCCCTGGAAATGATCACACCTGTGTGGAGGTAATAAGATGGCGGTTTGCTGAGAGCCGGTTTGATTACCGAGCTCGGAGATGTGGAGTGTGATTGGCAGTGGAATGTAGACAGTGTGATTAGGAGGGACGGATCTTGGCTGTTACTTCTCATGGAGCAAAGGTGTAGAGCGTGAAGATGTTGGAAATATGTCGAAGCATCAGTTGTAGCTGAGTCAGTCGATTATGAGGCAGTGTTGGCGTGCGCCATCTGTATATCTTAGCGATGAGTTTTGTTCAAAAATCTCCAAAAACAGACTGAATGACATCATTAACAAATTTTCAGATAAGATTAGACAGAATGCCATCAAAAAACCTATATATAGCCTATATTTAGCCAATATAAATTCTATAAAATTAAATAAAATTGAAATATTTGTAACATATATTGCCTATCTCAAAAGTTTGGAATAATTAAGATTTTTAAAGTCTCTTTTGCTCACCAAGACTGTATTTATTTGATGAAAAATACAGTAAAAATAAGAAATATTATTACAATTTAAAATAACTGTTTTCTATTTTAATGTATTTTTTTAAATGTAATTTATTCCTGTGATGCAAAGTTGAATTTTCAGCATCATTACTCCAGGCATCAGTGTCACATGATCCTTCAGAAATCATTTCAATTTGCTGATATGATGCTTAAGAAAGGCTTCCTATTATTATTAATGTTGAAAGTATTTTTGCTGCTTACTGTATACTACCATTCAAGATTTTTGAAGTAAGATTTCTAAAGAAATTAATGTACTTTTATTTACAGATAATGCATTAAATTGATCAGAAGTCAAAGAATCCTGGGCAAATAAAGTATCATGGTTTCCACAAAATTATTAGGAAGCACATCTGTTTTCAATATTGATAATAGTTTACTTTGTCTTACGTCTTGGCAAACTCTTCTTGCTTGTTTCAAGCACAAACATCATTACTGTTGTTAGATTTATGCAGAGGCTTTTGTAATCTTTTACATCATCCTCAAACTTTCTGGCATATGTACAGACTTTAATACAGCACTTTAGTCAAATAGTGAACGTTTTCAGTGACATCATTTGGCTGTGCACTCTTTCCCAAATATTCTCTCAGCAATGGCTCTGTTTTCAATAACATAGAAAATTTCATCGTAAATTTTAAGGCAATCCTTTTAAACACTTAAATATCATCCACTTAAAAGTAGTTTTAAGGGCCAGACTCACTCAAACAAAGGCGTTTAATTATTTAGCCGAGACATAAATTCCATTACGCCTTAAGAAAAAGTGACACGTAAAATAAGGTCACGTAAATCAATTTGTTTGAAAAGTTTTCGTATACGAGGCTCCCATGACTTTAAATCTCAATGTGTAACTAACAAAAGACTGGCGATGATGCAAATTAACCGAACTTAATGAGAGCAATGAAGAGGGTGCAAGCATTTTGCAATCTTTCAATTTATCAACGGGGGATTTACATGGTGGTTCTTTATGGTTTGCAGAGATAAGGGAAGCATTGCATTTTGGGATGTGAGCATGCCAAACCGGATCTTTGAAGCAACAGAGAACCTTTCTGCGGATCCAGAGATAGTATGTTTGCGCGTGTGTGTACGTGTTTGCGGGGAGGGGGTCTCGGTGCACTCTAAACCCTTCAAAGGATTGATAAAGCAAAATGATTTAACAGCAGCAACACCGACCCCTGCGACCACCGGCGTGTCAACATTGATTGCAGTTATGGTGATTTGATGTGTGGAATTCAAATGCATGTCCCCTCAGCAGTCTGTCCACGCAAAGTTAGAGTCAAAGCAATGAAGGCCAATGTTTAGAGGACGTTTCAGCTCCACGACCCCCTGCCGACAAATACAAGCATGACATTTACAACAAAAGTCGCATGTCATGTGAGCGAACGCATGAGTTTCTTGTGGGGAATTCACAGCACACGCTTTGTGTCTTTCATATCAAAGAACAAGTATAAAAACCCACTTTTTTCTAAAGAGAAAAAAATAGTACCAAATAAAGTAAAAAAATACAAATAAAATGAGATTGTGGTGTATAGTTGCAATTGTGAGATATACAGTACTGTAGTCACAATTATAAAATAAATGACTTATGAGAAATGAAGTCAGTTATGAAAATATAAAGTCAATTGTGAGATATAAAGTCATAATTACAAGAATTAAAGTCACAATTGTGATTTATAAAGTTGCAGTTATGAGAAATACAGTTGAATGTAAGACAAGATAATTGTGTTGGCCTACTTGAAGGACATTACTGGACCCTTGCTGGACCCCCTGCAGTTTGCTTACCGAGCAAACAGGTCTGTGGATGATGCAGTCAATATGGGATTGCACTACATCCTCCAACATCTGGACAAATCAGGGATTTATGCAAGGATCTTGGTTGTGGACTTCAGCTCCGCTTTCAACACCATCATCCCGGACACCCTTCATAATAAACTCACACAGCTCTCTGTACCCACCTCCATCTGTCAGTGGATCACCAGCTTCCTGACAGACAGGCAGCAGCTAGTGAGGATGAGAAAACTCACATCCAACACTCGCACCATCAGCACTGGAGCTCCTCAGGGCTGCGTCCTCTCCCCACTGCTCTTCTCTCTCTACACAAATGACTGCACCTCTACTGACCCCTCTGTCAAGCTCCTGAAGTTTGCAGACGACACTACAGCCATCGGTCTCATCCAGGATGGAGACAAGTCTGCTTATAGACAGGAGGTCGAGCAGTTGGCTGTCTGGTGCAGTCACAACAACCTGGAATTGAACACGCTCAAAACTGTGGAGATGATCATGGACTTCAGGAGGAACCCCCTTGCTCTCCCCCACTCACCATCATGGACAGCACTGTGGCTGCAGTGGAGTCAGTCAGGTTCCTGGGCACAACCATCTCTCAGGACCTGAAGTAGGACATTCACATTGACTCCATTGTGAAAAAGGCCCAGCAGAGGTTGTACTTCCTTCGTCAGCTGACAAAGTTCAACCTGCCACAGGCACAGATGACACAGTTCTACTCAGCTATTATTGAGTCGGTTCTGTGCTCTTCTAGAACTGTCTGGTTTGTTAGGACAGCAGAAAGGATCATTGGTGTGCACCTGCCCAGTCTTCAGGACTTGTACAACTCCAGAGTGAAGAAACGGGCAGGTAACTCCTGGGTCAGCGACTCCTGCTGGTGTTAGTAACGTCCCATTTACCCCGTGTGGCCTGACCTGATCTGGGGTCATCCACAGGTGGAGTTGCTCGCGTCTCATTTTGCTTTGGCTGGCCGCGCTCTGATCTCTGCTCAGTGAGTCTGCGGGATCGATTGCGTATTGGTGATGAATTTATGGTGCAATGAGGCAGAGCTGCACGTGTATTTCCACCGCAGCTGCCCTCAGCTACACAAACCAGCGATATGTATCAGTTTAGATCCACCCCTAGCAACTGCAAATCAACCACTTATCAGTGCCGTAGAAACGATCCAGAAAACCATAGTAGCCTACCAGCTGTCTAACTGTATCTTGTCTGACTGTACAGCAACTGAAACAAAGTTCAATTCATTTCTATGGATCAATTTGTTTGACATTAAATTAAATTATTTTTTTTAAATCAGTTAAAAAAGTTAGCCGGATAAAACAATTAAAATTTCTTAACATTTCCAAAATTGTTCTTCCTTACATTTAATAAATTGTAAAGCTATTTTTTATATAAATATAATATTTAAAATACATTTTATATCTCTCTCTCTCTCTCTCTCTCTCTCTCTCTCTCTCTCTATATATATATACACTAATTATAAACAAAATATTATTTATAATATATAGTATATACGTATACAAATACACAAATGCACACACACACACACACACACACACATACATACACATATATATACAGTAGGCTACACACAAACTGTATAAACATTATTGTAATAAGTATAATCCATATTTATTAATTATATATATATATATATATATATATATATA